AAGAGATATCATCTTTTACCCCAATTAGGGTGATTGATTTTTGTTTTTTAACAAAACAAATCCCCTGGCCTGATAAGACAAGCCCACAGTGATTTCATGTCACAAACATCTTGAGAGTAAACAAACACTTTTTGATTAAATTTAAATCCCATTCTACAAGATGAAACATATATCTGGCACCATTATCAGGGTAAGGACCTGTGACTAGACACATCATACGTCCTACAGGAGAAACTACTACTATTACTACTACTATTTTCCTGCTTAAATAAACATAATATTGAATAGAGTTTTAAAGACATCATTATGCCCATAGATCAATGCATTGCTCAACTTTCATCAGAAAAGTAGATGGTGATTAATACAGAGACCCACAACTAGCCAGAGTGCAGAGAATAAGAGACAGCAGAATGTTCTGCCCTGAAGGGAATGTATATGTATATGTATATGTATATGTATATGTATATGTATATGTATATGTATATGTATATGTATATGTATATGTATATGTATGTGTATGTGTATATGTATATGTATATGTATATATATATATAGTGATATTTTATTTGTACTGAAATGTGATTTTATTTGTATGTTAATAAATAAAGTTGCCCAGGGTCAGAGAGCTATTAGAGTTATAGCGAAAGCTGGGTGGTGGTGGTGCACGCCTTTAATCCCAGCACTTGGTAGGCAGAGCTAGGTAGATCACTGTGTGTTCAAGGATACATCCAGCATTGGAGACACACGCCTTTAATCTCAATACCAACCATAGAAGTCCTGGAGGTCTGTACAGACAGGCAGTGACGAGGCAGTCATGTGGTTGGGTTTACAACCAATGAGAAGGCAGAACAGAAAGTCTTTATAAAGACAGACACAGGAAGTAGGTCTCTTTCGGAGAGGTAGGACCACCGCGAGAGAAAGGGTAAGGTTTTTAGCTCTTAGCTCTGACTTCTTGGCTTTCTTTTTTGCATTTGTTCTGTGTTTCTTATTTAATAAGACAGTTGGTTACATCTACATCTACATATATATATATATGTATGTGTATGTATATGTTACATATACACACATACATATATATGTGTATATATGTATATGTTACACACACACACACACACACACACACACACACACACACACACACACACACATGTTTTCAGGACCCCAGAAGTCATGAGGAAATAGAACAGGTGCATGTAAGCTCTGTTTGACTGGGAGGAGAGGAACTTTGGTCATGGTCTCTGAACAGAGCTCTCAAGTACCTAAGGGAATAGATGGCAGGTGGTAAACAGCAGGGTCCCGTGGTGAAGAACCTATTCCCAACAGTGTTTGGCTGAAGAATATTAGGTCTTGCTGTAGGCCCTCTATTGCTCAGAGGTTGAGAGGTGGCTCCTGAGAAATTTGGCATGAATATGGGTTCTTGCATATCCTTTACCAGGCCTGAGGTGAGTACAGCAGACGACACCAGGGGCATAAGATGGGCTGAGGTCTCGCCTTGCAGCTGTTGGTGATTTTATTTGTCTTTCTCTTAACTCTCAGTGTTGCTCTTGCTGTTTTCCTAATCTTTCTTCTCCATCTTGCATCCTGTATCTTTCATTTCCTCACTTGACCGTTTCCCTTTTCACATTATTTCCTCTTTAAATAAAAGCAAAAACATTTTTGCTGGGTGGTGGCACACACCTTTAATCCCAGCACTTGGGAGTCAGATGCTGGCAGATCTCTGCGAGTTTGAGGCCAGCCTGGTCTACAGAATGAGTTCCAGGACAGCCAGAGCTACACAGAGAAACCCTGTCTTGAAAAACCAAACACCACCACCAAACAAATAAACAAACAAAACCATTTGATTTCAGTTTTTCCTCCTCTTTTTCCATTATTGTCTCTCTAACTCTTTATCACTTCTCGCCCCCCCCCCCCCGTCCAGTTTTGTTTCTTGGTGTAAACACCCAGAAAATTACAAGGAAACGAAAGACACTAGTGTCAGCAGGGCTATGGGGGCCTCTTCATCTTCTCTGGTTGCAACAGGAACAGATGTTAGTGCTACTCTTATGCAGAAATAGGCTTTTACTTAAGATAATTTTAGATTTCCTTAAAGTGGAATGTATTCCATGGTGGAATGAGACTAGGGTGTTTAAGAAGTCTGTTCACCTTGGCACAGTCTCCCCTAAAACCAGTAGTGCTCGCTCTTTCTTTGCATGGCACAGTCAGGGGTTCACTACACTCTCAAAATTTCTCTGAGTATTTCTGGTCTGTCATTCCTACCTCTTCAAAACTAATGCTGTTTCCCAGCAAACTCATCCTTCATTTGTGGGTCCTTGGAATTCTTTCTCAAACCCTTGTACCCCAACAGGTAATTTCCTCCTAATATCTAGGATTAGAATTACTTGATACAATGCTTAACTTCTGCCACAGAAAACTGTATTTCCTGAGGGTTGTGTAGAATAGTAAATATGGAAACAGTATGTTATTCAATGATGGATATGTGTGTTAATGATTATTTGTGAGACACAGAAATTGATCTGGCCTCCAAACTCTGAAGTCAGTTTTTACCAGGCATTAAAGGTTTGTAGGCTTGCCATAGAAATGTTACAAAGATTGTTAAATGCAGTTTCTTTCTCAAATGGAAGATCTAAAACATATATAGGAGAGGAAAGAAGGAAGATGTAAAGTGATCTCTCTCTTTTACCACATCTTCTCACTGGGCTGGTGTAAGGTAGCATTTCTTATCTCTTATACCTGGGGAAATTTGACATTCTAATAGAGGAACAGCAATGGTATGTTATAAATATATGAAAGCATGTGACTTTTTAAAAAAATAATTTATAGGAAAAAACCTGGAGATTGAAGTTGGGTTAGAATGGAAGTTCTAGCCATGTAGCTTCTTTATCAAGAAATCAGGGTTATTTACTTCCTTTACTTGGACACGTGTTTCCTTATTTTTCAGAACGGACGTTTAATTTTTTATAGATCATCTTAGGTCACGGTTATGAAGTCTGAGGCATATGGAAGTGGCTGGCTGAATGACCATAAAGACCATATTCAGGAAGCTACTAAGAAACTGAATGAGATGGTCAACTCCCTTGAAAAGATTTTCAGTTCAACCTTCTGAAAGAGCCCGAGAAAGAAACTTCTTCTCATAGGCAGAGTTTCACTACTCCATAGCTCCGTGAACTTCAGAGATCAAGTACACATGCAATTGTTATGAAAACCCCTGTGCACTGCCTTTCCCTCCACAGGGATAGTAGCAGTACTGGACACATGCTGTTGTTTTACAAAATACACATCTGACTGGTGACAAACGACCTTATTCTCTCATGGGCAACTTCAGGATCAATGCCTCTGAGACTCCTAACTTTATTCTGACAGGCTTTCCAGGCATGGAAGCTATGGAGCTCTGGCTGTCCCTCCCTTTCCTTTTATTCTATGCCGTCTCCATTGTAGGCAATTCCTTGATCCTCCTCATCGTCAAGGAGGAGCAGAGCTTGCACCAGCCCATGTACTACTTCCTGTCCCTACTGTCTGTGAATGACTTGGGTGTGTCTTTTTCCACCCTGCCAACTGTTCTGGCTGCCCTTTGTTTCCATGCCCGAGTGATCCCCTTTAACGCATGCTTGGCCCAGATGTTTTTTATACATCTCTTTTCTTGGACAGAGTCTGGCATTCTTCTAGCCATGAGCTTTGATCGCTATGTAGCCATATGCAATCCACTGCGCTACGCCACGGTGCTCACCAATGCCCGAATTGTGGCGATGGGCTTGGGAACAGTCCTCCGCAGCTTTGTTCTCATTGTGGTCTTCCCAATACTTTTGCGTAGACTTCCCTTCTGCCACCCTCAGAACATCCTCTCCCATGCTTACTGCCTACATGTGGACATGATTAAACTGGCATGTACTGATGTTTCCCTCAATAGCCACTATGGGCTGTCCATTGTGTTACTCACCTTTGGCCTGGACTCGGCACTCATCCTCATCTCTTATGTGCTTATCCTGCGATCAGTGCTGGCCATTGCATCTCGGGAGGAGCGCCTCAAGACACTCAACACATGTGTGTCCCACATCTTGGCTGTGCTCATCTTCTATGTGCCCATGGTCAGTGTGTCCATTGTGCATCGTTTTGGGGCTGGCTTACCTCATGCAGTCCATATCCTCATGTCTATTCTCTATCTCTTTGTGCCTCCCATGTTAAATCCTGTCATCTACTCCATTAAGACGAAGGAGATACGGCGGAGACTTCTCAAGATGCTTTTCAGGGTCAAGTTGTGACTCTGGCAAAGATAGAAATGGTATATGGTCTAGTGTTGGTAGTATGAACAGCCAGGCAACAGAATCGGGTGAGATTAACTAACGGATGTGAGGTGTGTGCTTAAAGTTCTAGGATCACTGATAAGAAGTTTAATCTACATTATTAAGTTAGTACCCGCTGACAACATTTGGAGTCGTACCCAGAACTTAACTTTGTTAACTTTTCTTTGGAGACAAAAAGTAATCTTGTTTTCAAGATAACCAACAGCACTTTTGCCATCACAGCAAGGAAATGTTATTTTCTAGAGAAGCCAAAGACTAATATCAAAATACTCGGTGACATTAAGAGACTTGGAGGGATGTGCATGAAAGAGATAAAGACACAGATAGGGGTTACTGTGAATTGGGCTGTGTCATCCATACTATGAAAGTTAAAGCAGTAGTGACTTGTTAACTGGGGTCTGAGCAGTTGCAGAGCTCTGGTGTTTATTAAGTCATAATTTGATTTTAGGATTCTTTGGACATTTTCCCCACACATGGGAGACCAGAGGTATACCAGCATTTAGTTTCACCTCATGGAAGTTAATAACCTTTTGCTTATAACTCTGGTGACGGTTCTGTCACTCTTCAAAGAGTAGAAACCCTTTGTGGCAAGAATTTTGTGCTGTTCTGTCCATTGACATTAGACTTGCCCTGATCTTTCTTTCCATTGAGATAGGCTCTGCGAGACTAATAATGAAGGAATGGGTGAAATGTGGTTGAATAAGGAATAACAAATGAGTAACTACGAGAAGAAAATGAGGTTTGAACAAATCAACACACCTCTAAACTATTGCTGCCTTTTTACAAATCAGAGTTTCATACTGGAAAGTGTTTCCTATCCCTCTGAGTCTCACATTGCCCCAACATGAGAAAGTATAAATGAAATTTGAGATTTTAGAGTCTTGATTTTTTTTCCACATGTAAAATGAGGTATCTATCTTTCATCTCTCTACCTCATTGGCTTGTCTTGAAGTATAAACAAAATAATTTGCTTTATCATTTATATAATAACAAAATACCTTATTTATTCATATTAATTTTTATTTAATGGTAACAAATACAAGACTCTGTGTTGAGTTTTAAAATATGACACACAGGCCAGTAACTTGGCCCAGTGGGTAAAGGAACTGGTCACTAAGTTTGACTCCCCAAATTTGATCCTGGATTAGTGAAAGGAGAGAACTGACACCTGCAAGTTGTTGCCCTCTGACCTCTATATGCACACTGTGACATGTATGCACCTGTCCCCAGTAAAAAGAAAAAGTGTTAAAAAATCCCTTAAAATAGGATATGTGTGAGACAATGTCTAAAGAAATGTTTTGTCTGAACTTTCCTAAATCTTAACCCAAGTGGAACCAACTGCTCATTACCTGCTTTGGATTCACATTATCCTCAGGGAATATATTTCAACCACCTCAGTAGGGTCAATTTGTCCTTTCCTCCTATGCTTTGTTCCTCGTTTTTCTCTTTAGCCTCCATCATGGGCCTGCAGTGCATCAGACAGACACAAAGTGAGGAGTGAGTTAATAAATAATTGCACTCTCATCTCTTCGTGTGGCAGTAACCTTCTATAGGTTGAATCATCACGTCCAAACACCTTATTCTACAATTGACCACACTTTTACTAAAAATTACTTTTGTATTGAGATTTTTGTCATTGATCATAGTGTAAATACTATATGCATTACAACTGGAGAAAAGTAAACTTTATTTTTAAATATTTTATAAATGTACCTTATATATTTATGTAGCATGTACCCTATGGGCTATGGTTTATAATGATAGCAATTAATAGAGTCAAATGTGCTTAAATAAATCTTTTTTTAACTTTCTTTTTATTTATTCTATGTGTCCATTCTTTTTCCCATCCCTTTGTATCCACCCTCTGCCCTTACAACTCCCCCTCAAAAGAAAATAAAAAAAATTTAAGAGAAAAAAGAAAAGGAAAAATCAATCTTGTCACGGAAGCCGTAACATAAGACAGTGAGTCACGCAGTAAACCCTTTATCCTTATATCTTTACTTGTAAGTGTTCATTGCAGAGTCACTGGTCTGGTTCAAGGCCTCTGGTTTCTGCTACACTATGGATGCTGGGCCCTCACTGGGACTCTTCTTGAATATCCTGTTATTGCCTTGTGTTGTGGAGACCCTGCAGCTTTGGGTCTGCAGGACTGGCCCCTTCATGTGCTCCAGAAGATCACAGATGGGGTGGATGTTGGAGAGGGCAAAGTCATAGCCTTGGTTCTGGGCCTGGGTAGTTGCAGGGTTGGTCAGCCTGCCAGCTCTCCCTTGTCATCACCACCAAGGGGAGTTCTCCAGCATTGCCCTGGCTAGTTCACCCCTTGCAGCAATGAGCAAAGGATGGGGCCAGTTCTCCTGCTTTCATGTTCTCAGGGTCGGTTCTCTTCCTTTTGCCTAAAGTTCACTCTGTTAGTTTTCTGTTGTGACCAGAAGAAATGTGTCTACACTCAATAGCTTACAACAAGACTCTCTTATTAGTTTCATAGGTCAGAACTCTGGGGAATAACCCACGTTAAAGGTGGCTGGCATGTTTTATTTCTTTATGATTTTGAGACTGAGGTGTCAATTCTCTGACTACTTGTTTAGGCATCAGCCCTTTTTCCTTAAAGCTGTCTTCAGTAATGCCCATGCTTTTTCATTTGTATCCTGCAAGTAATGATAGACTAAGTGCCTACCATCCTCAAGCCTCTACTTATCTACTATATCTCCTCTTCTTTATTCCAAAAATGTTTGATGAGTTTAAGAACTCATATACTCAGTTTTGTATCACTAGAACCACTCAAAAGTAACAGAAGAAAAATATTATCTTAATATTCATAATCTTAACTACACATGCAAAATTCTTTTTTTGACACAAAATAAAGCATACTCATAGGTTAAAAATGGGCACATCTTTTGAGAGACATTTTGCCTATCATATTGGCATCAATAGTATGTTTTTTTTTATTTTTTGAGAGTCAAGTACACTATATATGTAATTAATTCTCAGACTTCTTGGGAATGGATTATGTGGATCTTGAAAGAAGTGTTGATTCTGTATCAAAATTTACACAAGTAATAAAATGTGGACCTTTGGTTATTCAACATTATTCCTTCAATATGCACCTGCAAGTGTGTTTGCAAAGGGGAGCTTTAAGCCATTCCGTACTCTTTAGTCAGAGTCTATTTCCTATTAGGACTTAATGTTAGTAATGTATACACAATGACTAACCTCAATGAGTGCTACATGGCAGCCAATAGGCTCAAATATTTCTCCTATTCTTCTTTATCTCCCCAGTAATCCTATGGCATATGTCTATATCTATTTATAGGTGAAAAAATGCAGCTATGCAGGGAGAGGTTAGATATTTTCTTGAGCAAAGGGTAGAATAAAGAATAAAATTCAAGGCCATCTAATTTCTTCATCTTTATCTTCATCTATGAATCCCTATTACCCTAATATTTGCCTAACAGGCATTCCAAAGCTATTTGTGAAGAAAACACCACAGTGAAATGTCTGAACACCTTACTAAGAGAACATTTTCTATGATGTAATCTGTATTCACATTCTGTACCTGACCAGCTATGTGTACTAGTGCTTCTCATCACGGTTCAGAACAGCTTCCTTGATGATCAGGTGTGATTTTCACATATCCTGATCAAGTTAAATGCTGAACCTTATTTGAGATTTGAGTTCTGTTTACAGGATTCAGCATTTTGGTAGATACTGACTATAAGTGTGCTTGTGTGAGCACACACACACACACACACACACACACACACACACACACACACACTAGAAAGGCCATAAACTTAATTGTAATATTTAGATTAAAATAACACATTGTTATCAATCTACAAAAAATTAGGGAGTTGTTTTCACTCACTTGTGTGAATGAGGGATAAGATACAGTTTTCTTATTAATTTATTTTATTAATAAATTTTTAGTTATTTTACATAACAATCACATATACCCATCTCTTCCCTCCTCCTGCCCACCCAGTCTCCTCCCCAATACCCCCATTCCCTCCTCCAAAAAGGTAAGGCCTCACACGGGGAATCAGCAGAGCCTGATACATTCAGTTGAGGCAGGTCCAAGCCCCTCTCCCTGCATCAAGACAGTGCTGGTCTCTTCTAGTTCTGATTGTTTCTGCTCTGGCATAATCCCATGAGAGATGAGATACTTAGTCCAGGAAGCATGGATGCTGCTGATGTTCTATATTCCCAGAAGTCCATTAGCACCTGAGCTGATAATAACCCAAGGGACTTTCTGAATACAATCATATAGTTCTCAGTGCAGAGCTCAAAGAAACAACCGGGGACCATGGACAGGGGATGCAGGTTCCCCAGAACTGCTCTTTCTTTCCTTATACAGCCCATGCATGTGACTTTCAGATAGGAGAGCTCAAGTGCTTGAAGCTCCAAATTCAAGTCCTAAGACTCAGTTGGCAGCTTAGAAATTCCAACACTACAACATTCCCTTCTAAAGAAGGAAATCTCTCTATACCCAATTCTTGTCTTTGCCTTTCCTCCAGACTCTCTCCCTCTTGTGTTCCTGTTTCTACATTTTCTATCTGTTGCTTTTGGCCGGAGACATACCACCTGTTTTCTGCATCCGATACTACTTTCTTGGAAAGAATACTCCATCAGAATGTACTTTGAATATAAAGGCTTTGTGACTACTCCCCCTTCAATACTTTCTCAGAAAAATCTTGTATTTGGCATATTTATTCATCAAAGACCTTGGCTCTTTTAGGACCACTCATTCGAATCCTATTTAATATTAAAAGATTACAGTTTATGGGTGACTGTTTATAGTATGAAGGGAGAAATAAAATGAATATGAAAAGCTTGCACATGAGAAAAACAAAGGGGAGACTGCTAAAAAACACATGACTAAAAGCATCCTGAGGTGAAAGGAGAGGAGTCCTAGATAGAGGAGTAAATGAGAAGCAGAGGGTGGGATATAGAGCAAGCTTAGAATTCAGACCCACAAAACCCTGGGTATAAAGAACTTACACAGCTCTTCAATTTTGGCTTTCCACTA